AATATTCAATTAATCAGTTACAAAATTTCTTCAGGAGCTTCAGATTTCTTTTGTTGTTTAGCTCTGATGAAGCTCTATCCATCAGGCCCTCCATCAGTGCCCTCAACCCCCAGACCACCAATTTATCTGAAAAAGGGGTATCTGGACATACAAAAATAGTTATTGCTCTAAAATTATTAAACATAGGAGCTTCAGATTTTTTTTGTTGTTTAGCTCTGATGAAGCTCTATCCATCAGGCCCACCAATTAGTGGGTCTCCTCTTAAAAGTTGTTCTAGAGATGTGTCTGCTGCTAGAACTCTGTGTGGCATTGACCTGTTCTCTAATCTGAGCTGCTGTTAACCTGACCTGATCTCTAATCTGAGCTGCTGTTAACCTGACCTGTTCTCTAATCTGAGCTGCTGTTAACCTGACATTTCTGAGGCTGGTGACTCAGATGAACTTATTGTCCGCAGCAGAGGTGACTCTTGGTCTTCCTTTCCTGGGGCGGTCCTTATGTGAGAGAGACAGTTTCCTTGTACCACTTGTGGACACTTTCAAAGTTTTCTCAATTTTTGGACTGACTGACATTTCTTGAAGTAATGATGGCCACTCGTTTTTCTTTACTTAGCTACTTTTTTCTTGCCAGATTACAAATTTTAACAGTCTATTCAGTAGGACTATCAGCTGTGTACTGTCTCCACCTTCTGCACAACACAACTGATGGTCCCAACCCCATTTATCAGGCAATAAATACCACTTATTATATCTGACCTACTTTGAAGAACCTAGAATACGACATATTTTCAGTTTCACACTTTTTTGTTAAGTATATAATTCCATGTGTTAATACATAGTTTTGATCACTTCAATGTGAATCTAATTTTCAGTCATGAAAATAAAGAAGACTCTTTGAATGAGAAAGTGWGTCCAAGCTTTTGGTCTGTACTGTACTTACAGGATACATCATTTGTGTACCTGGAATATGGGTGTAGGGCTGATGTAACAGGTGTTTTGTCCATTTCCACTTACTTGCTCATTGTGTGTTTTTTTCCTGCAGTTCCAGTGAAGCGGGATATTCCAGTTATGATGACGTCGCACCTGGAAAACATTTAATCTTAAACCAAGTCAATGAAAACATTAACATCTTACTTAGTGGTGAGAGGAGTCCAAACTACCTTTGGGCTCCTATAGAAGGTGTATATGAGAACGGCTTTTGGTGCATTCTCCAGATGAAGTGGATGATTGACCAGATTGGTTGGTCAATTTGTGAAGAGTTAGTTTTCAGAATCAGCAGTAGCTGTGCTGAAGGTTATTTTGAGTGACAGGACACATGAGTAACCCATTACATCAAGTCTATATTACAAAAATACAAGCTGCTATGGTCAGATTAAATGT